TCCACGTATAGCTGGGTTGTATTATTCAACTCGTTTATAATGAATGAGCAATTTTTGCGCTTATGTACACTGTTAAAAAACCTTAAATTTAATCTCAAATCAGACGCAAAATTAAAGTAACCGATGCTAAAATTATATTTAAGGTACTTTTACATGAATTTTTTTTCGAAATCAATCACGTACCTTATTTTAGATTCGAATTTGAAGAAATAAATTATTTAAAATAAATATTGTAAAAGTTTGATTGCAAATGAATGCTTTAATATGGATTGTACAAAAAAAATATGAAGATTCAATCATAATTAGAGCCAGCATCCACCACTAGATGGCGAGTACCTTTATCTGTATAAATCTGCAAGTGGCAAAGTCAAAAAAACTCTATAAGACAAAATACGGTATTTAACTAATTTAACTATTTAATTATTTAACTAATTTAACTATAAAATTACTACCCACATTATGTACAGATCAGGTTTTCTGTTCACTCTGTAGTTTTGATATTAGTCTTTACCGCAACTTTGATCTCATCAATTTTGATTGAAATTATTCAAAATATTTATGAGAATTCAATTATAATTCAATCCAGCCTCTACTTCTACATGGCGAGTGCCTTCATCTGTTGACCTGCAAGTTGCAAAGTAATGATCTTCCTGCAAAGTAATAATTTTCTGTTTTGTTTCCATTTCAAGGATTAATTTGCTTGTAAAAAGAGGAAAAACACTCGGAGATCGAAGATTGTCAATTTTAGCCCGAGGAAGGCGGGATGCAAGCCAATGTAGTTCTCGAGCACAATCTGAATCGTCGATTCGAGCTTCGTGTTCGTTGTCTCGAGTCAGGTGTCAGCGACAGCTCGTCCTACAAAATCCTGAGCTTAGCAACAGACTTGGGAATTCCTGAGGCGCGAGAGTATCGGTGTAATCTTCATCGACGAGCTGTTCTCGTACCAAGTGCATACGTACGTGCAATGCATACACTGCAGCTTCGAGTCCTACTCATACGACGCGTGGTCGCCCATACGTACAGACAATGCGCGGATCGCAAAAAAGTCCTCTGGCAAGCATTATACGTGTGTAGGACAGCCCGTGTTGTTGGCGTCGCGCATGCAGGAGCACAAGCTGAGACGGCGGAGTCGCGCAGGCAGCAGCTCGCGCGACGCCAACAAGTGAGAGGGAGGCACGAGATATACCTACAACTCCCAACGCGCAGCGTGTGCACCTATATACGCGATATACGTTGTATATAGGAGTCTTATAGACAGTGAAAGTTTCTCTCGGTTTTGCATCAGGGGGATGCAGTAGAGTAGCGCGCGGAGAGCGCCAAGCCAAGAGCCAAGCGGTAGGGGTACACGAGGCTAAGGTATATGAGGGCCCCGGCTCGCTTCGGGCCCGGTATATTCTAACTTCTCTGCTGCCTATTCGCATACACGGATCACATCAAATATATATACCTACGAGACGACGTAAGCGACGCAGCTGGACGCGTCCCGTTTTGTCGTAGTTGTTGTTTTTCAAACAGTTTTCGCGCGATAAAAAGTTGATATAAACAGAAAGTGCATCTTACCCGGTAGCGACTGCAGATTCAAAGGAGCGATCACGAGATCGAATTGGACACGATCGTCGAGAGAGACGATATAGATAGTTCAAGAAACAGTAAAGAAGAGACACTATGAGTCGATATAGTCTTGCCACGGTACGTACCAGTGATGAGAATGAGATATTTTGTGACATGTGTTTATAACCGAGTGCATTTTTTTTAATATACAACACTTACCAAGTGACGAGATAACTCAAGTACTAATTTTTATTCGATATACTCGAAGTGAAGAAATTAAAAAAGATCCTAAAGTTACCGTAATCTGCTAATTATCCTTATTGAAGGCACTTGAATGGATACGAATTGGTATAAATTTTAATCCTGTTCAGGGGCATTAAAAAGCTTGTACGATCGGCTGGAAATTCCGAAAATCTACTTTTTTTTCTCCTGCTTACAAGTACGATCGCGCGAGCTGTAGGCGCGCACACGTTGCATAACTTACGTAATGAGTTAATTCATTCGGATATAATACGGCTCGCGCACAAGTGTCGGTCGTGTGTTTCGTTATAATAATATATAAATAATAATATCTCGAGCCTCCTGGGTATATAAAGCTTCAACAGTTATAAATTTTGATAGCATGTACGCGGTACATATTATAGTATAGTCACATAAGAATGAAGAAAGAGAAAAATTAGATGCGCGACGCGGCCAATTGCCATAAAGGCATTAATCAAACTTTTATCGAGTGTACATACCAGGAGAGACTATGCACACACACACATGCACATGCACACACTATGCTCGTGCCTGGCAGTTGCAGTTGTGCAACGCTTTTCACCGAGCAAAATCGCGCGTTCAATTACATCTATACACTGTATGAACTCTCTGTCTTTCTCTTTCTCGCTCATTCTCTCTCTCTCTCTCTCTCGCGCGCGCAGTCGATCGGTTTTTCTATACTCCAGCTATATATGCGAGGAGAGGTTTTCTATAATCGCTCGCACAGTGATCGACTTACAAATCATAATTGCCAAACGTTGGACAGAGATCCAGTGAACTGGATCGCGCGAAAAAGAAAACGCGCCAGGTAGTAGTAGTAGTAGTAGTAGTAAAAAAAAAGAAAAGGAAAAAAAAATTAAAAGAAAGAAGGAATTTGTAATCAGGAAGTGTACGGAGCTGCGCGAGCTGACTGCGTACGGACCTGGCTATGCTCCAACGGCACCGTATAATCTATATGCCGTATACGCGCCTATGTATACCCGTGTATGCATGCGTATCTTTAAAAGTATACACTCGCACACAAAATCGTTATATAGCTATACCATATATACGTGCATTTAATGTACAAGTTCGAGATCGAAAGCTCGCGTGCTCTTTCCATATACACCTCTATATATATGTTTGTTTATTATAAACGTGTGTTTGTGCGTGTGCGTTCCGGTAAAAGTGTGTACGCTGCATACACACTCTCGTGCTCGGACGGTAACGCGGATCTAGGCGGAAGGGATCGATAATACTTTATTCGCGTTTCACCGAATGCACTGCAGCAACCGCCTCACGTGTCCGCACGTATGTATACGTGCGTACATCGAGTTTTGCGCCTTCGGAGCATTAACGAGAATCTATCCGGGCGCGCCGAGCAGCCGGACTTTAATTGATTCTTATATTTATATGAGTTTGTGTACGTCCGTGCGAGTGGACTTGTGTTTTTATAAAATACATATAGATATAAACGTGAATGCGCAGCTCTCCTTCAAGATAGCTGCGTTCATTGTACGTAGAAGCGAGAAGGATGTAAAGTTACGTGCCACGTGCTCTTTCGCCTCGCGTAATGCAGCTTTACTTTATGTATACCGCGCGGAGGAGCACACCATATATTCGCGGAGCGTTTCCGTACGTAACGTCGAGAGATATCCTTCTCTTTCTGAACGTATAACATACAAATTCGAGACGAGTTTTCTAGATCGGACAATCGAATCGCTTCGATACATTTCCGCGTGTATCGACAGAGCTTTGCTTCCCCTCGACGTACTTTTGCGTAACTTTTTGCCAATGCGCGCTACGTAGCTCAGCTGCAGGCTCGCTCGACTTTATAATTTGACAAAATAAGAAGAAAAATAAAAGAGCAGGTGCTCTTTCTCGACGTCCAAGCGCGCGATAAAAAACAATGGGCTCCGCGCAAAGTAATTTTTCTTCGCATTATGGGGCATCGTTATAATTGTTATGTAAGCGCGTAGAACGTGCATTGTAGACACACACGCGCGCACCGTTGCAAGGAGCTCATAAGTAGGAGCAAATAAAATATTATATGCTCTTTTCTGTGTCGTATAATTGGATTTTGGAGAAAAAAAAATATATTACAAGTCAAGCCGTGCGTTTAAAAAGTGCTCCCAATGTAACACACGAGGAGGGAGAGGCAATGGAGGATACAGGAGCAGGCGGTGGGGCAGCACGACACAATACACACACACACACACACACACACACACACACGCACTGTAAAGCACACGCGTGTAGCATGTGTATACATAAGTATATGCTTTATCCTAAAATTGGCATTATGATGTGAAAGTTGCATACATACTGGACAATGCGCGCGGCGTTATACTTTAGCACACACGAGACAGACGGAAAGAGAGCGAGCGAGCGAGTAAAAGAGAGATAAGTGTTTTTTGATACGATTGCGCAATCGGCCGGCCGAAGTGAAAACTGCTTCGTATGTATCGCGAGTATAATGTGTATCGAAATGTTGCGATGAACTTGTTGCGCGACTCCGTGCGGTTTGTAAGTTTTCTACAATTTTGTAGGTGACACATTATAGAAAAGCGAGGAAGATAACAAAAAAATCCAGCACGTCCTTCGCTGTATACAACCATACGACTTTGCTCATATCCGTTGAAGCGAGCTCGTCGCGCGGATATTTGGTAGCAACAGCAGCAGCAGCAGCAGCAGCAGCAACAAAAAACAAAAGATCCGCGCCGCGTTACGTAAACAGTCCGGCGGCCAATTTGCTCTCGTCGATTTCGATTTCTCGCGTCAATTTCCCGAAGTAAAAAAGCTCTCTCGACCTCGCACGAACGCTCGGGCCGCTCTCGACTTTTTCGGCTCCTCGCGTCGCTCTCCGATGTTCTCCAAGTTCTCGTTCAACCTATCTCAGTACTGCAAAAGCAGTCGGGGCGGCGGAATCGCCTCGATCCTCTCCTTTCTGCTGCCGCACACGATCCTAACCAACGGGGTGCAGCTCATGCTGTTCTACGTCGTGCTCAAGGGCTTCCGCGAGATCTGCTTCGAGGATCTGGACTTGGCGCGCGAGCGATTCTACAACGAGGACTTTTACGACAATAGATTGCCGCAGCAACTGCCTCCGCCCCATCCGTACCCCCTCAAAATCGACATGCTCGCCGACGGATATTTGCGCGATGTCAAAGCTACGGTGCGCAGATACGACGACGATCTCGATTACTAGGATGTACTCCGCCAATGTACTTCGTGAGTGTCTTGTGGTGCGCAGCAGTAGTTTTTTTAGCGAATTTACTGAAAAGCCCATTCGAAAGAACGACGACGAGCTCTCGCAGACGTAATAACTGCACCGACTGACTATTAAATGCTTTTTAAATACTTCCTGCAGCTAGCACAGCCTAACTTTTACCCGTGTGCTCAATTTTTTCAACTCAAGACAGAGAGAGAGAATGAGAGATAATTGATAACGTCATTGACACGAGGATTTATTATCTTTTCGATATTTTTATAGCTCGGCGCAGCCGCGCGCACAGCTAGTGCTGCATAAGACTCGCTTTATCCATTATGGAGTCGTAAATATAGGCGTAATTGATTGCAATTTACTTCGGACACCGTGAACAGTTTTTTTTCTCCCTTCTTTGTTAGAAACACGATTGGCGCGGAGGGAGGGTAACAAGGGGCAGAAAAAAAAACAACTAATGGAAATAGCCGGTCGATATTTTTCTTCTCCCGTTTTGGAATTGTGCGAATATAATAAACAGGACCTAATAGTTTTTGCAACAAAAAAGAGAAAGAAATTATTAGCTCATTGAAATTCTTAAAAATTAACTGGCTACAGCCGATACATAACTCAGCAGCAGTGCTTGTGTGTGTGTATGTGCGTTGCTTAACGAGCTACAAAAACTCGCTCGATCGTAACTTTCCACGCATACACACATACGTGCGCTTCGAGAAAGGAGAGAGGAAAAACGGAGAAAAAAGAGAGTCTATTTTATCGATCCCGCGAAGAATCGATGGATGAAATGAACGTCGGGCGTGGAAAAGCTCTCTTGTACTCTCGTTCTCGATCGCGCAAAAGAATATAACAATCTCATTAATCGGTCATTGATCGTTTGTGCTGCGCAGTTGGCGCTAGTGATGCTGGTCGCGGCTTCGGGACAGGCCCAGCGCTACCAGAGCGAGGACGCCAATTACCTGAGCCAGAGCGACCTGTACAGCGATTACGAGGCCGAGCGACCGGTCCACCCGACGCCCCGAAGCTACAGCGCCGCCGCGGCACCGGCCCAGCGCCAGCAGCCGGCCGGACCCAAGCCCACGCCCGTTGCCATCCTCAAGCAGATCAATAGGCACAACGAGGACGGCTCCTACACCTACGGCTTCGAGGGTGCTGACGGCTCCTTTAAGGTACATATGTACTACTAATCTCGAGCAACTTGTTTATTTTTTTATTCGACACGCCTAGAATCGATTTGTTGACCATTCGTCGATCGGGCCTTGGTCCGGTTATGCTGAACAATTGTTCTGGTATAATATACGGCAGCAAAAAAAGGCGGCATACGCGCTGGCGCGCCAGTTGAACTTTTGACTTTATTATTTGTTGTTGCTCAGATCGAGACCAAGCAGGCCAACGGCGAAGTCAAAGGCAAGTACGGCTTCGTCGACGACAGCGGCAAGGTCCGAGTGGTCGAGTACGGCGCCGATCAGTACGGCTTCCAGCCCGTCGGTGACGGCATCACCGTGGCACCGCCGACCCTCGTGGACGAGACCACGAGCAAGGAGGCCCTCGAAGCCCAAAAGTACGACGACTACCAGACCTATCAGCAGCCCATCTCTAGACCTGCTCCAAGGTACATGCTACATGTTATTTAGACACGACCTAAATATTCGAATGAGTACGAGGATTGGGATTCATCGTGCGGATAAAAAGTAGCTAAGCTGCAGCAGCAGCCGTTTCGTAACACTGCGCTCGATTAGTTTCATTCCAAAACTTTTTTTCTCACACGCATACAACTATGTGTGTAGGGTATTAACAAAATCTGTGCTTGAAATCACGATACACGCACGTACGTACACGCTTCATTTCTTTCTTTTTTCTTCCCTCTAATTAGCGATCTTACGTCGATCTCCGCGTAGTATTTTTTACCTGTAATTACACCGACTTGCGGCGCGTTTATACGTTTGGGCTAGGTTTTCCGTTGAAAAATGCCTATCCGATACATAATTCAATCGAATTTTTACTTAACCGTGTATTATCAACGCATTAAGATGCGTGGAAAAAAGTGGATTATAACGTTATACAATGCTATCGGACTATATACAAGCGATATCGGAGTTGCGTAAATTTCAATTATCATTTTTAGCGATTCTTAACGTGGTATCTTTTTTCCTCTGCATTTCCCACAGGCCGCAGCCGGTGATCAATCGTCAGCAAGCCGCCACCTACCAGTACCAGCCGCAGTACCCGACCCAGCAGCAGCACACGCAGGCCATCTACGCGGCGCAGCAGACGCGTCTCGCGCCCAAACCCGCCCAGCCGATTTACTCGCCGGCCGAGCAGCCCAGGCTGAATCTGCAGTCGCAGCTGATCCAGTCGCAGCTCTACACGAGCGACGAGCAGCCCCAGTACAAGAACGGCCCGGTGCAGTTCGGACCCGCCCCGGTGCAGGAGCACCATCTCCAGGCCCGAGCTCAGCCCCAGGCTCGTAGCGGCGCCAACGGTGGTCTGCTCGATCAGCTCGCCAGGGACTACGCTCTTCCAGCGGGTGGCGCTGCGCCTCTCCACGACATCAGCTTCGGCTATTACTAAGTCTCGATTCCTTCGGGGGGGTAAGTCGGTAAAGGACGATTTGTCGTCTTTACGTCGTCGGAGTCTCGACGTTCGTTCGATATTTATCGTGAATTTTTTTCTCGCAGACGAAGGATAAACTCTAAGCAGAGAGTCAGGCCGAGATGCTGATAAGGACAGAGACTCTTGCCCGAGTCTTTCCATCCCTCAAGGATCGTTCGAATCTACAGCCAGTTGACAAGCCCCCTTTTTTGTGTTCGAGAAAAACTGAAGATTCGATGTTTCATTGGAAAAATTTTATTCCGCGAATGCGGGTCCCACGGTTCCCGAAAATTATTTTATCGATCGCATCATCCGATATATTGCCTTAGAATATTCTCAATTCGACAAGATTTAACTTAACCATTAAACGTCTCGAGTGCCTCGTAAAAAGCCTCCACCGAGCGAATTAAAATTTATCGTCTTCCAAAGTAATTAACTATTATTATTCATTATATCGTAATTTTAGTCTGTTATGTATCTATAATATACAAATACACATCTATAAATATACCCATCACTTTGGAAAAGCAAAATGCAAAGAAAATGAGAGAGAAGCTATAACATAGGTTCGAAACGCCGTCTCCCTCTCTCTCTCTCTCTCTCTCTCTCTTTCTCTGTCTCTCTCGTCTGATGCGCGATGCAAAATAATACCTCCTCGAGAATCGTATCTCTCTCGCAGATGAGGCACTACCGCTGCTGCTGCTGCTTCTGCCGCTACTGCACGGGTCTATATGCACTTTCACTCACTTGTCTCGTGGGACATCATGTGCCGCGTGCTTCGGAGGCAGGCACAGGTTGCCGCGGCGGCGTGCTACACGCGCACATTTAATACATCGAGGGGATTGATTATATTGCCGATGCGCTTGTACGTATATGTGACGCAACTATATACAAAGCGCCTACCATAATTATCGAATACATATACTAGTGATTAAGGACTTGTTGAATATCGTATTTATTATTTTCCTTTTTTTTATACATGTTTTTTTTATTTACTTTTTTCAACTGGATCACGACGTTGCGCTTGGACAATAACAAAAAAAAAACTATCTGCATATTGTCGTGGGATATAAAGAAAGAGAGAGAAAGAGTGAGAGAGATAAGTATATGTGAATATTTTGCGAATCTCCGATGGATCGTTCGTATTGTGATTTCACGTCGTTTTTAATGCACACGTAAAAATTCGAAATGTGCGCAGGATGGAAAAAAATAATCAACAGTGACTGAGATAAATGAGACCGAGGAAAAATTAACACGAATTGCGCGCGTCTTTTTTTTTGTTTCTTGTCAAGGCGTTGTACATGTTTTAATTTTATATTATATTTATAAGTGTTTTTCCTATCATCGTTAACCAACTTTAGATGATTTGTTTTTTGATCTTTCGAATACTATTCGTCCACAATGCAAATGACACTGTATATCATCATTTTTAATTGTAACAATTTTTTAAAATAAAATATTGTTAAATAAGTATTGAGAAAGGTGGCGATCACCTTTTGAGAATTACGATTCTGTTGTCAATACATTTATCTCCAAATTTAAACGAGTACTTGTGTTATGTTATTTATCGCTCCTAGAACCTGCACTTTAAAAAAAACGTTAAATTGTAATGCAGATTTGAAGTAATATCAGACATTAAAATTATATAATAGGAAACTATACTGAATTTTATTGATCAAAGCTCCGTAATTGTATAAGAAAAAATAAAGATTCGATCATAATTAATGACAATATCCAACACTAGATAGCGAGTGCCTTTATCTATATAAATCTGCAAGTGGCAAAGTCAACATAAGTGTATAAGTCAAAACGGTATTTAACGAAAATTACCAACCGCATTGTATACATGTGATGTTAGCTTTTACCCCAAATTTAACCTCATAAATTTTGATTGAAAATACTCACAAGTTTATAAAAATTCGATCATAATTAATGCCAGCATTCATCACTAAATAGCAAGTGCCTTCATCCGTAAATCTGCAAGTGGCAAAGTCAAAAAACTCTATAAGTCAAAGTACAGTATTTAACGAAAATACCCACATGATTCTCTGTTCACTCTGTAGCTTTGATATTAGCTTTTACCCCAACTTTAATCTAATCAATTTTGATTGAAAATGCTCGCAAGTGTATAATTTAATCATATATAACGCCAGCATTCAGATGGCGAGAGCCTTAATCTTTGAATCTACACGTGGAAACGTAAAAAATTATTTTACAAGTAAAAGCAAGATTTTAAAAACAACTCGACACTTATTATCTAATTAGAATTTGGAATTCAATACCAGTGTAGGCAAAAAATTTGTATGAATTTCAATTCATCTATGTGAAAAAAAATACTAACGAACAGCATTTGAATGATGTTCGTTTTAAAGCTACGTTTACAATATTGAATAGACAACAATAAAAAGTAGAATAAAATATTTATGAAAAAGAAATACACATTTCAAATCAATGACATCTTAGAATAAGATATTGTAAAAGTAAAATCAAAATATGATCATCGCTATAAATTTAATGAAAGCATGGAACTTATTTCTTTGTAAGCTTTTCCAAACTAATTTATTCCTATTAATAATTTACGATACATTACGATTATGATACATTATGGAGTACGCATTGATGTATTAAGAATCTTTACACAACTAAAATTGTTTCAGCCTGTGATGCAGGCAACCGTCAATTCAGATGTGTACAACAAATAGCTGTATTTACAAGTGCCGTGTAAACAAATGGATTAATATCACATATGCTTACTTTTTTTTTTAACTTTACTCCGCCTATAATCATATTTATCTTTTATTTTAAAACATCAAACAATATCAAATTTTTAGTTTATTATTTTATTTTACTAACAAGGAGAGCCTTTCATCTTTGGGTCACAGATCCTTACTAAACTTATTTCGGGGTCTTCTTGTACATAATAATAAAGTCCCCTATGGTTACTTTATTCCAATGGGCCCTGGAAACCATTATAAAGCACCATGAAGTATATAATATAATATAATGTATAAAATACCATGTATTAGAGTATAAGGGTATCAGGTTTACACAGTCAGGTCTAACTGATTGAGAAGTATTTATACTTTGAATTTTTAATGTCCAAAATACCTTTTCAATCAATAAACAATTTAACTCAATTGGTTTGCTGTGTAAGTTTTGAAGAGAGAGAATTTTATATTAAATCATGTAAAAATGTTTTCATTCATGAAACTTACAGTTCTTTCTTTCTCATCTATTTCTGACACTCATCTGGAGTGAATCTGAATCTAGATGAGTGTCAGGAATAGGTGAAGAGAAGGGATTTATGAGTTATACAAATAAAAACATTTCCATATAATTTACATCAATATTTATTGTTTGGTACGTTAATTTTAGTTCAAATTGGTATGATCTTCAAAACTTACACAGCGAACCAATTGAGTTCAATTGTTTATTGTTTGCAAAAGTGTTTAGAATGCATAAAATTTCACGTACAAATATTTTTGGGAGAGTTAGACTCGATCGTACAAGGCCTGATACCAATAAGTGGTATTTTTTAACATTATATTATATTAACTACTTTTTTCTGCTCTATAACTCTTTGCAGGGCCCATTGAAATAAAGTAACCATAGAGGGATTTATTATTATGTACAAGAAGACCCCTAAACAAGTTTGGTAAGGATCTGTGACCCAAAGATGAAAGGCTCTCCTTGTAAGTAAAGAATTATCATTTATTCTCAAATTTTGAAAAAAAATCGTAATTTTTTCATAAAAAAAAATACTTCATAATGACCAATTATGTGTAAAGATTTAATACTATTTTCGAATTTAATAAATCGAGTCGTTTACACGGATCTCTGAATTTCCTGATCATTTTCGAAAGAGAAATAATTTTCGCGAAAACTTTCTTCATGGTTTTTCAACTTGCTCACTTCCAATGTCAGTGTCAAGGCTGTTTGATTTCATACGTCGATAAATAATTATTTGTGGTTAAAATTGAAATTCAGAATTCCGACATGAGTGATTTTCACTCGCTTTCATTCGGTTGATACGTGTTAAAAGAAGAAAAGAAAAATACGATGACTCTGGTCGCTGCGCCGTGGCTAGTCCCGAAGCACGTATTCACCGACTACTTCTCAGTGCGCTCGCTAAACCGCCAAAAGGGATTATGAAAACCAGGAAAAGACGGGAGCATTTTTCAGCCCACGCATCGTCTCGTACACGCCTTCTGCAGTGCACGAAACCTTGAAAATGAAAGTCTTTTTAGATCTCGAATACGTAAATATATGTAATATAGACAATTTGTGCGCTCGTATGTGTAAAGCATTTTTACACTCCATAAAGCGGATTTAGCAGTAAAGTATATTCTTAATTTCCGAGTTGTTACATTTAAAAGTCACGCTTGCGAGAATATGCGTCGACACGGCATGGTATATTCCTTGCCGCTACTTCTCCTCTGTGCAATTAACATCTTGACTGACAGATAGGTGTAACTAATTTTCAAGAGCTAACTCTTTCAAAATATGGCTTTGATTTTATCACCGCCGCGAGTTGAAATTCAACTCTTGACAATCCGAGCATTATTTTTAATTTTTTCATTAAAAAAAAAAAGAAAAATTCCAAGGAATAATTCAGGTACAGGCTCCTTGAGCGTCCAACAATGGCCGATGACAAAGGATCTTTAGAAATTCTTGCTCATTCATTAAAAATATTTATCCTGCTCCTGCGCAGGAGTCTAAAGCTATCGATCAATCATGACGCGTGTATACACCGCATACAGCAGCAGCAGCAGCAGCAGTAAAGCATTGAAACGCGTGCACGCACATAATGGTATTCGATAACCCTTGAAAATCTCCAATCCATCTAATTCGCTCGTGCAAGAATGTCAACATCCTGCATGTTGCTCGAGGTAAACGGGCGCGCGCGAAAGCTGCAGCACAGGGGTAATACTACATGGTATACATGGTATATATTGTCGATTTGCGCGTATGCAAACAAACTTAGGATTGCTGAAAATTAATCGTGCGCAGCGAATCAAAATTGGACGCAGGCCTAAAAAATTTGAACCGAAACAACTTTCAACTTGATTTCAAGATCATTAGAGATTTGAGAGCGCATTTTATATAGCCAGTGCGTGTATAATGCCAAGTCCCGAGCGATGAAGGGGATACCACGTCGCGC